GTTGCCCAGGCGGGTCTCGAACCCGCGGGCTCAGGCAATTCACTCACCTTGGCCTTCCAAGGCGTGGGATTACAGGCTGAGCCACCGAACCCAGCCTTCGACAGTATGCTTTATAGCATTTCCCACACCTGCCCCGTCTCGCATGTGCTCACATCCCAGCACACATCCTTGTGCTGCATTGACCTGTCCCCATTGTTTGCTCATGTGGGTAACAGATTAACACTAAAGTGGTAAATGGTTTTCCATTTAATTTCATGTCAAGGGGGAAATTACAGTTTTAAAAAACATTTTTCACACAGTGAAAATACTTTTTTCATTTATAAGTTAATATACATTCCCTAGAAGAACTTCAGACGATGCAGATATACAGTAGATGGTAAAAATTACCTCATCCACTTGTTAGTGACAAATTCTGTTAAAGTGGCAATTCAGACTTAGTTAATGCTGACAGCCTGCCAGCTGGTCCTGAATGCTAACCAGTGAGCATTATCATTCCTTTTTGCAGATAACAAAGTGAACTGTAGGCACAGTGACGCAGCTCGCAGGCCTCCTCTACCATGCTGGGCATGTGGTCTTGGCTGACAAGCGAGTTTGTGTGTTTAGATATTGCATTACATATAAACAGTTATTTAACTTATTTTATCATGTTTTTGGCATCTTTCTATATCAACACACAGAGATGTACCTTCCTCTCTGTGTACCACAACTTTTTATTTAACAAGTTACTTTTTTGATGGGCATGTAAGGTATTCTGGAATTTTCTTGGTCAAAATATAATGCAGTCATGAAAGTTATCTTTTGTCTTGTGACTGTGAAGTTGCCAAAGACACTGGCATGGTGCACTCTGGAAAGGCCTTGCCTGTTTACGTTCATACCGCAGTATGTTGGCACACTCTTGGTAATCTTGACAGGTGAAGGTTTATCCTTGTTTTGATTTATATGCTGTGTAGTAACAAGTCTGCTATGAGTAAAACAAGAAAGACAAATCATTTTCTTATTTGCTATTCTGGAATTAAAATTCATTAACTTGTGGTTTGCACTTAGTTACCATGAAATTGAAACAATTGTTCTTCGGAACTGGTTTTTCTACTTTGTTTTTTGTAATGTCTGTATACCTTAAATTTTTCTGGATATGTCCACTGATTTTTCTTGCCTTCCCCTTCGCCACCAGGAGCGATTTCAGTTCCCTTCCCATGTCACGGATGTGTCTGAAGAAGCGAAAGACCTCATCCAGAGATTGATCTGCAGCAGAGAGCGCCGCCTGGGGCAGAATGGAATAGAGGATTTCAAAAAACATGCGTTTTTTGAAGGTCTAAACTGGGAAAATATACGAAATCTGGAAGCACCTTATATTCCTGACGTGAGCAGTCCTTCTGACACATCCAACTTCGATGTGGATGATGATGTGCTGAGAAATACTGTGAGTGTAAAGGCCGTCTTACTCTTAATACTGTTTTACTGTAGGTCTGAACGTTAGCAGTGCTGTGTTAAGATGTTGCTTACCAAGTTAGTAAATCTTAGAACTATACTGATTTATTTTTTTTTGAGAAATTTGACAATTGTCTCAAGGCACAGCCTTCGGCTTTGTCCTGAATACTCTTTTAGAAAATGATGTATTACTCAGTTTGAGTCAAATTCAGTTAAACAGTTCTTTTGTTTTGGAACTCATCAGAAATACTTTTGCTGTTATGTTCACAGTACATACCTTTCAGAACAGTGTCTGTCACACATACTGTTGTATTAGAGCTTCACTGTGGCCCTAAGACACAAGGTGGAGCTTGGCCTGTGGTCCCATGGGTAGTGCTTTGACCTGCTTTCTGGTCTGTTTCCCTATGTATGAGAACCCGCTAAATCTTTCTATCTTCATGGGTCTCAGTGTCTGCATTTATGTTTTTTTGTTTGTTTGTTTGTTTGTTTTTGAGTTGGAGTCTCACTCTGTCACCCAGACTGGAGTGCAGTGGCTGCTCCTGGCCACCGCAGCCTCGACCTGCTGGGCTCTGGCGATCCTTCCGCCTCAGCCTTCCAATGCATTTATGTTTTTACAGCAGGAGTTCAGGATCAACCATAGTGATAACAGATTTAAGATGTTATTAGTTAAGATGCATTGATGTTTAAGATCATGGATTTTCCGAGTTGGGTCCTAGCTGTGGGGCTTCTCTGGTGTTTTGATGTGCTCTCACAGGGCCTCTTGGATGCACTAGCCAGTACCTTTGGTTCCTGAGAATTTTGCTTATATCTTGTTAAATTATTTTGATCTCATCAAGCCCATACATTTGACCAGGTTTGGGAATAGAGAAACTGAAGGTTAGCCTAGTAAAAGAAAAACCTTCTTCAACCCTAATTTAGATAATTTCTCATGCTAGAATAGAGTCATTTGTTCTCTCTGTCTTATCTGTTAAGGCCTCTTGAAATGAATTACCACGATCTTGGGAAAACTTTTAGTAGTTTAACAATTTTCAAAGAGGAACAGAGGTTCTTAGAAGACACTAAAAAAGTTGAGTACCCCTGGTAGCTTCATGGAAAAGTTAAATCTATTTGTAATTAATACTTGCTTTGATGGCTCCTCATCAAAGTAAGAGCTGAACTTCAGACCGCATGGAGAAAAGACTGAGAAAAGTATTATCATCTACCTTTGGGTTCCAAATCTCCTTTCTGCCTTAGGCCTCTGTCTTAGGCCAGGAACTTAAGAGTTTCCAGCCTCTGCTTACATTCTCAGAGGGGCTGCACCTGTCCACACTGCTGGTGTCTGCACATAATTGTGTTAAGCAATGGATTATTTGGCTTTAAGAAGTTTGAAAATTACTAGCCTGATCTAGGTTTGGCCTGTGCCATTATCATGAAAATTAGTACATTTATCCTCTTAACTACATTGTGTAAGCACTGGACAGAGCCAGGGGTACAACTCCAATTCCTCAGTCCCAAGCTCCCTGCAGATGATACATGAAATCTGTACTCTCCCAGGCCACACAGTTTGTCCAGGACCCCCTGACTGTCCCCATTACTATAACATTCTTTCTCTTTTTCCGTTTGTTTGAACATTCATTTCATTTGTGCTGTATATGTTCTTATGCAGGAAATATTACCTCCTGGCTCTCACACAGGCTTTTCTGGATTGCACTTGCCATTCATTGGTTTTACATTCACAACGGAAAGGTACGTGTAGATTTGTCACTGTCCAGGCAGAGCCTTCCCTGAGTAGATGCATGCTCTGCTGGGAGGGCTGGGGCATGGCTCAAGGGAGACATGGGTGGTTTCTTGTCCTTAAAAAATACATACCTGATTACTGCAGGTGTTAACATATGTCAAGGTTAGCAGACTTTTCTGTAAAGATTCAAATGGTAAATAATTTAGGTTTTGTCATCTCTGTTGTGTATTCTTTTTATTTTATTTTATTTTTTGAGTTGGAGTCTCACTCGGTTGCCCAGACTGGAGTACAGTGGCTGCTCCCAGCCACCGCAGCCTCGACCTGCTGGGCT